ACTGTTTTCATACTCGAACCAAACATATCAATATCTCTTTTCACTTTTTGAGAGACAAGGTCGAAAAAGGTACTATAAATATCATACATATCCCTGACCCACTTCAGTTAGCAGATCCTTTAACTAAAAGAGTGTTAAAACCGAAGTATAACTGGTTTCAAGATGAAATTAGCTTAGAAAAGGTTTTTTAAGTACTTAGTACTTTTTCCTACTTATAACATCCAATAACTGAAGATAAAATAAGGTTTTTCTCTATATTTTCCTCATCATAACAAAAGATCCCTAAAAGAGGTTTTAATACTATTTTATCCTCTTATAACATAGTAGTTATTAGGTTATCTACTATATAAGATAAATAGAGGTTTTACTATTTTCCCTCTATATAACCAGAGATTTCTCAAATACTTTATCTCTACTATAACCAGCCAAAAAGGACTGAATACTTAAGGTTTTTACTATTTATTTTCCTCAAAATAACATACTGAGGTTTCCTTATTTTCCTCATATACTAGCGTTAAAATATTACGTTAGAAATAGTCTATACTAAACGCAATTACTGAGAGTATTACGTTTAAAGGGGGGTGTTAATATTTGCCTATTTCTATAAGGCTATATATATAATTAGATTAAGGTTCATACTATATAAAGTAGTATAATAGTAGTACTTTGGTTAGCTAATATTGTTAAGCTACCAAGGACTGCTTTGCTACTTAGGTTGGTTACGTTACGTAGCCTACACCTATAGAGACAGGTGAAGAGGTAGGTGGCCTTTTACCTATATAAGGCCACCTTCCCTCCTTCTTCCTTTTCTCACTTACTTCACTTCTATACGTTCTCTACAGATGAGTACTTGACCTTCTACAATACTACTTCTCTTCACCTCCATTACACTTCCGCACCAATGACCAGTAATACCTCTACTAGCTTGAGAGTCCTTACATTAAGAATAGTCTTATAAAGTTTATTAAGATAAAACATACTTTAGAATAGAGAGAGATAAGCTTATATTTAAGGAATATAAGGTTAAAATGATATTTTAATTATACAATTTTCCTACTATTTTCAAGCATTCTAATCTATAGCAAGCTGTCGATTCTAGCTATCTAAACTCTCTTTTCTAAAAGATAAGCTTTAAAGACTATATTTATATAGAATCCTTTTACTAATATAACCTTCTTAAAAGTAAGATCTTCCATCCTCTCTCCTTATACTCTATTAAAGACCTTTATGATCATCCTAGTCCTATATACTATGATCATATATTATCCTATTCTAACGTCAAGTAGGATAAGGTTGGTAGGTATGATCGAATCAGATAGTAGTAGATCCTTAGTATTCACTATATATATTACTCTATAATTGTCAAATAGTATAGAGTCTGTCAGTAGGTACCTTTAGTTTAAAAGCATTGAATACATTCTTAGGAAGCTTCCAATTCGTTTAAAGAGTAGTAGATCAATGATCGTAGCTACTACTAGCTTTAGCCAAGCTAGGAAGCCTTACTTATCACCTTTATTCGTCTATACCTTTTTGTATCATTCCTAACCCTTCAGATTATTTAGGACATTCTTAAATTAAGAATATTAAAGCCTTATATAAATTATCGTAAGCTTATCCTTACTTTTACTTTCAGTTTTTATCCTCTTTAAAGGGAGGGTTCTAGTGATCGTCTAGCGTAGGATGGTATATCTAGAAGGCCTCTAGCAATGTATTTTTCCTTTTTCGCTAAAGTAGGGACAATCATAAGCTTCTTTGTTTGATAAGTACTTTAGAGCCTATTTGCTAGTCTTCTCGCTTACATTCTCCTACGCCACTAGATAATTTCCTACCTTTGGCAAGCTTATCTATATGTTAAGGACCGTTTAGAAAGCTCTACTATATTATTATAGAAAGCAAGTTAGTTAGCTTATCATTTTATTGATTATAAAGTCGTCTAACTTTGCTTTAGCTTATTCTAAATAAATTTAAAGACTAATTGTTTCTAGAAAAGCTCTTATAATAATTGCCTCCTAAACTTCCAAGATTTAGTAAGCTTTGCTAATAAGGTAGGCCTACTCTCAATCTTAAAGCTAACACTCTGAAGATTGTCTCTTAAGCTTTGTTTATATAAGCGTTTTATTATATATTTCCCTTACTATTGTTAGAATACTCGAATATAAAAGGGTAAGCCTTTGTTTTAAGTCTTATATAATCGCCTACAATATAGGCTTAGTCCCTTATATACTTAGCTTTATACTTATAAAAGAGTAGAGTTCTACTACCACCATTTTCCTAATTCAATTATAAATAACTTAGTATTTTTCTCTCTTATTTAATCATTTTATCTTATCTATTATATAAATCTTTAAGTAGATATTATAATCGTCCTTTATTTACTTATTTATTATTATAGTAGGCTTGGTAAGTATAAGTCCTCTTTCCTCTTAAGATACTATACTCTCTACCTATTCTATAAGCTTTATAGAATACTTCTTAAGTATAGATATATTCAAACTGATAGTATATTTCTCTAAAGTCATTAAAAAACAAGCTTTTACTATAGGAGAGATAGTATCCTTTGCTTTTAGGTCGATTAAGTGCTAATTGTCTTATAGGTTCGCTTTCGTTCGAAGCTTTTGATACTAATTGGTTTAAGAGTTTTGGTTGATAAACTTTATTATAGTAAGTAAATCTTGATAGCATTTTATATATTCTTATTTCTAAAGGATAGTATCGTATATACAGTTTATAGTATAATATAGCAGAATTATATATATACTAACCGGGCTCATAACTATGACGGACCATAGAGCATATATAAGCATATAATTAGGTAATGGAAAGT